AATTTACCTATTAATTTACGCGGGAAATGGGTAGTAGGTCTGAGCGAGGTTATTATTCCTAGAAATTGGTTCAACATATCAAATCATAATAACGATTATACTATTACTAGACATAAAATTAGAAGAGAAAAAATGACTGATGTAACATGTGAGATTCCATTAACTACAGGCGATGAAAATGAAGAAGGGACGCTTTTCCATTGGATAAACAAGAATATTGTTTCGTTAACAGGATCTAAGTTGGCAGAATTTGTTTTAGACGAGGATTATAAAAACGTAAAACTAAATTTGGAAGAGGGATTCGAGTTGCATATTTCGAAAGAAAAGGCTCATAAACTACTTTATTTTTTAAATTTACCGACCCAAGATATAATATTTAAACAACGGAGTTCGAGTTTAATATTGCGAGAACCGAGTAAGGAATATCTATCAAATCCTAGATTTTATAAAGATCAATTTATAACTTTAATAGAAAGAGATAAAAAAGTTGTCGAGGAAATCGATGTAGAGGAAAAAATTTATATTCTCATCAAGTTATATTCCTCTGTTGAAAAATTTCTCGGAATTTTTAAATATATTAAATTAGCATTACTACCTAATAACAAAATCGTTTTAAAAGTTCATAAAAATATAACGATTGAATTTGGAAACGAATTAAAAGATTTGTTAGGATTTAAAAAAAGCAAATTTTCCGAAGGTGAATATGTGAGCGACTATCCCATCAAATTATCTGGTGGAATTTCAGAAATTTTTATTTATTCGAATATCGTTGCTTCTCATCTTGTTGGGGATATAACCGCTCCACTTTTAAGGGTTATACCAGTAATGGGGGAAAAGTCGGATCAAATAGTTAGAATCTACCAATCACCTCTATACCTTCCTTTACGATGTAATTATATAGATACAATCGAAATCGAGTTGAGAACTGCTAGCGGAAAAAAATCGTCTTTTTTGGAGGAAAGACATTATTAGTTTTATCCTTTAAACAGATATAAATATTGGTATATTTTATTTATTAACGTTAGTTCGTCTTTGTGAAGTAGAAAATGAAGCTCGATCCGCGAGATTGTATAGATTATTACTGCAATCAAGCAGGAGGAACGGTACTGACACACGAGTTTCCATTATTTACACGACAATTTGGAAGAGGGACTTATTTTGCTGGACCGCAAATACAGAGAGGATACGGATTTTTCGGGGATTTATTTCGTAAATCTATTC